TACTCAAATGGATTTTTATAGTTATCGTTTGTTTGAACAATCCACAAAGTATTCAACAATTTTGAAAGGTGGGAAAATATTTCAAGAGTTTTTGGTAGATGCTTGGCCTGCAACTGAGCAAAATCGATTGACATACTACAAGCTTAATCAAGGGAAACTTCGGGCTGAACTTTACCAAGAGTTGTCAGATATGGATCTAGATTATGTGCGACCTAGTCAAATTGTTCAAATGTTTGTTTTGCCATCTTCATTTACTGATAGTCCTAGACATATGTTTGAAATCTTTCAAGATTTAATGGCTATCACATGATACAACCAACACCTAGATATTTTTCTTACCATGACTGCAAATCCTAATTGGCTAGAAATTACTTCAGCATTATTACTATATCAAAAACCTATTAATCGTCCTGATTTAATTGCCCGTATTTTTTAGTTGAAGAGAAAATGTTTGATGAAGGAGATAGAAACAAATAAAGTGTTTGAAAATAAAGTTGTACATATTTTTACAATTGAATTTCAAAAACGAGGCTTCCCTCATGAACATGCATTTTTATTTTTCAAGGGTCCAGACAAAATTCGAACATGTGCTCAAGTAGACAAATTGGTCTGTGCAAAATTTCCAGACCCAAAAGATGATCCTGTACTTTTTGAAACTACCAAATGTTGTATGGTACATGGACCATGTGATGCTCGAAATCCGCAAGCACCATGTATGGAAAATGGTATATGCACTAAGAGATACTCTCGAGCTTTCACAGAAACAACAACTATGGATCAAGATGGATACCCTATCTATCATTGTCGCAATAATGATCAAGTACATACTGTGAGGAGGCAAGAAATTGTTAACAGGGATGTCGTACCATACAATGCATATCTTTCAAAACTTTTCAACTGTCACATAAATGTGGAAGTTTGTGCCGGAATGAGATGTGCCAAGTATATATATAAGTACATTTATAAGGGTTATGATCGTACAACGATGGTGTTAGGAATGATAAATGAGATTCAACAATATCTCGATGCAAGGTATATTGGACCTCCAGAAACTGCTTGGCGAATATTTGGTCATCATTTGCATGCAGAGATGCCAACAGTTGTACGATTGACACTTCATTTACCTAGAATGCATCGCTTTATTTTTAACCTAGAAAAGTCATTAGAAACGATTCAATTTAGAGTTGGTCAACAAATGTAAACTCTTACTGGCTTCTTTGCATATTGTGCTGCCAATGAAGATGAATGTCCATTCACTTATCAAGAATTTCCACGACATTTTGTTTGGCTCAAGGCAGAAAAGAGATGGAAATCAAGAGAAAGAGGATATGCAATTGCTAAAATATACTTTGCTAGCCCTAATTGTGGTGAAAGATTTTATCTGCGTTTGTTACTAACCATTGTCAAATGACCAAAGTCGTTTCAGTCTTTACGCACAATCGATAATGTTATGCATGATACATTTAAATTAGCATGTGTTGCAATGGGACTTTTAGAAGATGATGAAGAATGGATATAATGCTTAAAAGTAACTGCAGTTATAAAAACTAGATATCAATTGAGGAGATTGTTTAGTATTATTCTCACCCAGTACTTTCCACTAAATCCATGTGCATTATGGAATCAATTTTCAACGCATATATGTGATGATCTTGCACATAAGATTCGTACATTGTTTGTCATTTCTAAACCAATTGAGTCTCAAATTGAAGATTATGGTCTCAATCTTTTGAATCAAATGCTTCATGAATCAGGCAAAAGTTTAATTGACTTCTTACCCATGCCACAACCTACTGCAAATTAGAGTGCAGTAGCTGGTAATCAATTGATATTCGAACATCAACAACTGCAGAGTGAGGCACAACATGCAAATCCACAAATTACTATTGATTGATTGTCTCAATAATGGACAGCGAAATGCTTATAACACACTCACTTCTTCAGTTTTTCAAAATAAAGGAACTGTTTTCTTTCTAAATGAGAGTGCTGGAACAGAGAAAACATTTCTGTACAATACGATTGCATTAAAATGTCGCAGCCTTGGGCATATCGTTGTTACTGTGGCTTCGTCTGGAATTGCATCATTGTTATTGGTAGGAGGTCGCACTACACATTTAACATTTTCCATTCTGTTAGATGTCTTGAAAAATTCACTTTGTGGGTTTAGCAAACAATCATTACAAGCTGGGTTATTTAGAGAAACAAAACTCATAATTTGGGATGAAGTTTCTATACAACATAGACATTGTGTTGAGGCGGTTGATCGTATATTGAAGAATATTTGTGATAGTGAAAAGCCATTTGGGGGTATTACTGTTGTTCTGGGTGGAGACTTTCGACAAATCTTACCAGTTATACGTTCGTGAGCAAATTGTGAATCATGAAAGCCATGAAAATGATAATTTTACAAATTTATTGATGGAGGTAACACTACTTTAACCTTTATTATATAGATTATTTTAAATTAATAAATTGTATTTATACTCTTACTTTTTTATTGATTTCACTTCTTTTTAGATTGGGACCAATCCTCAAGAAATCGTTAACCTTCCATCAACAATACAGAAATGTTAAGATTTGAATGAATTACTCTCTATAGTTTATCCACAATTGAATATGATAGAGACGTCAACCCTAACATTTTTAATTGAACGCACAATTCTGTCTGCGCGTAGCGATGATGTTAGTGACATTAATACTACTGCATTGAATATTTTTCCAGGGAGATTATATACTTATCTTGCAGCAAATAAAATGTCTGAAGATAATGAAATTGAGCCTACCATTACAAATAGATATCCTAATGAATATTTAAATTCATTGGATCCTCCTAGGCTGCCAACTTTTAAGTTAGAGTTGAAAGTGGGTTGTCCTATAATATTGTTGAGAAACATTGCACCGAAAGATGAACTATGTAATAGTACAAGATTGATGGTTACTAGATGCGACACTCGCATAATTGAAGCTCAAATTTTAACTGGAGAAAAGTTTGGCAATTTGGCATTCATACCAAGGATATCTTTGACACTATCTTCTTCAGAAATGCCTTTCCAAATGACAAGATGTTAATTTCCAGTCCGATTGGCATATGCCTTGACCATTAATAAATCTCAAGGACAATCTATGAAATTTGTTGGAGTTGATTTGCGTATACCAGTGTTTAGCCATGGGCAATTATATGTGACATTGTCTAGATGCACATCCTTTGATCGTATAAATATTCTCCTCCCTAAAAATAGTTTGAATTCTACTATAAATATCGTTTATCCTGAAATGTTGTTGTAGTATTCTATGTAGATTAAATGACATTTTATTATAAGGTAACCATGTAGATTTATTTTTATTGATTATATAACTTTTTATAAAATTTCAATTTAATAATAATTTAAAATTTGGACTTTTGTAAGATTGGACCAAAAAATCTATAGAGTTTAAAAGGAGAAATACAACTAACTTGCTTCGATGGGGATGTAATAAGGTAATTTCAATCTCAAAGTATTTTGTCATATATATTTCCAACAAATACACTAATCTATATTTTTTTTGTTTCTATAAATTACCAGATTGTTGTGCATATTCCTCATCGAAAATACATACAAATTGATACAAAGACTTTTTGAAAAGTAATGAGGAAAAAGTTTGGATAAACACATATTTGAAGACATGTTATTGACATATCTTTTGTAAAGCATACATATTTTGAAAAAGCTTTAACCCACTTTTTGTAAAGTTTTAACCTACTCTTTTGGTGTATGACAATATGACTTTAATTTTTGTTTTTTGTTCAGTGTTTACACTTTTTTTTACTGCCTTTTGTATTTTGATATGCAATATAACTTTAAATCTTATATGTTTGTTTCTTAATTTGCATTAACATTAGGGGGAGTTATTATTTTATTTGAATTTTGTAGAGCGTGTAATACAAGCAAAATTGTTATAAGTTCTTTAACAAGAAAAATATTTCAATATATTTTTTCAATATCTTTATCAAAAAATGACACAAATTTCATAAATTTCAACATAATACGTATAAATTATAACTGTATTTCAATCTAAAAATTATTTATACCGTGCCTTTAGACACGGACATACACTAATATATATATAATAATAAAAAAAAAAAGACAAGCAGAAAATGATATTATGCAATACCTTAAGGTCAACTTTCCACGTTTTTCTAATTTCTGGGCAGTATTGAATCTACATTGTCACCAACAAAAAGGAAAATGAAGGGTGATTTCAGAGTGTTGCCTTCATTTTTTCGGTTCTTCCGTTTAAATTTCATCATTGCATTAAATTATTCTAAAGAGACTCTTCAAATGCCATTTAAAAAAATAAAAACAAAATAGAATCATTTTGTCGAATTTGTATATTCTGAATAAAAAGGCATATGAATGGTGTCGTACAGTGGATTACATTCATCCATGTGTGTGCCACCAATAACCTATTCATGATGTTATAAGAAATACATATTTTGCCATTAGATTAAAGATTTAAAAATGTCAGAAGTATCAATTTTACTACTAAGAGAAAATAAACCATCCGTACCTTGTCACCGGGTCTCTTAGCTATTGGCTTTGATTCTCCTGTGATCATACTCTCATTCACATGACTCTGACCATTAATAACAATACCATCAACAGGAGCCTTTGCCTTTGGAACAATGTAAAAAATGTCATTCCTCTGTAGTAGTTGAGTGCTGATTTCTATCTCTGAGATGACATTACTTCCAAATATTTTCCTAAGAAAATAAAGGAGACCTCCATTGCACTAGTGTGAAAGAAATCTTGCCCCTCAAATGTATCAAAAGTTAAAGCTTTTATCAATATATATACAGAGTAAAAGTTCCGATACATCTAAAAGTAGAGCTGGACTTAAGATCTGTTGCTTACTAATGAAAAATACAATCGAAAGTAGACCAATATTATCATGCTTCTAGTGTGCTCATGTGATTTTCTTTTCCTCTTTCCTTTTTTGTGCCAAAGGCAAATTTTTTAGAAACCAAAATAATCAATTTTGCAATCTACATGTTAGGGTTTTTAGAGAGAGGTGGGAGAGGGGATACTTGACCAAAGAGAGGAGGCGTTTCTCGGAGGCGATGACCAAGGACTTCGAATCGATCAAACAAGAGTTCTCCTGGCAATAGAAAAACCTAATAAGTAATTCCATCAATATGCAACAGAGATTATTACAGATGGTAAGCAACAACAGAGAGCTGCAGTAGGAGGGGAGAAGAATAACCTAGCGGGTAGATGTGCAGATTCGGCCAATCCTTCGTGTATTTGTCAACAATGAAGAGTTGCAACAACTTGCTCAGAAACTTACAATGGCTTCAACATTGATGCTCTACAAATTCGACCTCTTGCCAGCGGGATGGGAATGATTTTGAGTCGCACAAAGATGGAAGATGTAGATGGGTAGAGAGAAAGAGAGAGAGGGAGAGAGAGTTGAGCATGAAAATGAGATAGAGGGAAAAAGAAAAAACAGAGGCGCCAAAGATTTTTGATGAAATTTGGGCTTCATTCAAAATGGTGTAGTATTAACAAATAAATTATTAGCGACCAAAGTAATTAAGTCGCCATAAATGTAGCCCACATTTTTCGAGATTAAATAATTGTTGTTGCCAAAAAGTTACATTTGGTAACTAAAATATTAGTCGCCATATATTAACTTCGTCGCAAATACTTTTTCCTCGTTCCCATGCAGAAATTTAGCCTCGTGCCAAACCTAACCACGACCAATCATATTAACTAGTCACCAATAGTTTATCTTTTGGAGACCAATCAATACATGGTCGCCAATTATGTATATTTGGCAACCAATTTATATTATGTTGCCAAAAATAGTCGCCAAAAATGTTTTTTGTTGTAGTGTGGGATGGGGTTTGCAGTGGGAAGAGTTGCCGGAGGGGTTGGGGAGGTGTTGTAGAAGAAGAGGAGGGGCATGGGAGGAGCTACTAGAGATGAGAAGACTGAGTAGGAAGGCTGGCACCGGAGGTGGCGTGGCTGCTGGCAGTGGGATGATGCCAACAATGAGGGGGTTGTTGGAGGAAGAGTTGGTGGGTTTGGGAGTTCAAAGAATAGAGGTATAATTGGGATTAAGATGGGGGTCCAAAGAGGAAAAGGAGAAGAGTCATTTAGGTGGATGGGGATCCAAAGAAGTAGGGGACATTTAGCAACGCTCTTTTATGACTCCTAGTACTAAGAATTAGCCTATAAAACTCACAACTGAAGCCATTAACTTATTTAACTTAACTAATCGATCAACTATTGATGCATAAAAAATAAGCAGCAAATTGCATTACCATGAATAGCAGATACCTCGTGACATCAAGATAAATTGCAAAATGGAAAAAACAAGTAGATATATGAATAAATGTTTCTCAAAAGAACAAGTATACCACGACTACTATTAATTTCCTCGGATGGTAAATTGAAAAAAGAGAAATTTCATACCCAACATTTAATCTCAGGGCCAAATATGTTACCTGAGACTCAAGATTCATGCACTACACACTCTGCAAAATTTGTGCACACTTCCACCATTATCTAACTCATTTGAGAAGATGCCATGCCTTTTCCCTTTTGCACAACTCACTCACAAGATTTTAGATGGGCTATAGAGATGTAATTTTTACAACTAAGCTTCCCGCCAATTTGAGTTGTTTGGGGGGCACTAGTTATGCACTCATTTAAGTTACATTACTTAGTTCAAAGTCATTTTGACCAATGTGCCGTCACTAATGCTGATCAATGGCCGAAGAAAGGACGAAGCTGACAAATTAGATTATTGATCAGCTCATATGAGATTCAAACCAGTCAAAAATTTCCTCAGACTGCAAGCTAGTCATTTCATGATATGCAAAAGCAAGATTCAGTTCCTCTTGAATGTGATGGACTAGGTGCATATCTGGCAGAATAATTTTACTCTCCCTGAGAGCTGCTTTCAAACGCATTGCTCGCCCATCAGCTCTCATATAACCATTTTTGTCAATAAAGCCCTTGTCCCGGAATAGATCAAATAATTTCATTGAAATAGTCTTATCAAGACCTGGGATCCTGTCAGCTAAGAAATTTGGTGACAACGGGAACTCCATGCATTTAACCTCTGCAACATCAATGCCTTCTTCCTTCAAAAACCTAAGATTTGCATCTATCTGCTGCTTCCTAGCTTCATCTTTGGGCATGTGCACAAATAGTGTAGGTGGGTAGTCCTTTGTGATATCCATTTGATGAAATAACCCTTCTGCGATCATTATCGTAATGCTACTAAATCTCATATCAGTGGCAAGCATTGAAACAAAGTACCCACCAGAGGAGGCCCCCAAAGCCACAAGTGGAAGTTTTTCAAGCTTGTATTTCTCAACCCACCACTCGATAATTCCTTTTACAATCATTCTTTCCTCCCCAACTGACCAGCAAGTTCCCGCACTCGAAATGGTAAGAACTGCAAACTTGCGAGCAAGAGCATGAAGGACAATTAGCCTTTCTTCAGGCAAACCAATACAGTTTGGGCATTTAGGAGATTTGTCCCAAAAATTAACAGCTCGGCCACTACATCCATGAGCTAAAAACAGAACTGCCTTCGGTGAATCGGGTATTTGCCATATAACATCTGTCCCATTCCTGAACTCCACATTGGGGTTAAATTGAACCAATGATTCAAAACTATTCCACTTTTGCTTTACTAGCCCAACTGAAGAATTGGGTTTCTCCCCATCATTTCGAAACAAAAGTGTCAAAGCCACAAGAAATAGAATCAGAACTGTAAACAATACAGGCACCCGAAAACCCCTAATACCATTCATTGACCTTGATAATTTGTTTCCACGCCTAAACATTGCTGAAAATTTATAAAAAAAAATATACATATATCATATTTCTTCCCAAATCACTTTCCATTAAGCTGATAAAAGTTACAAATTCCATCAAGAAAATCATGAACACGAAAGCATTTGATTAGTGTTAAATTTATCCACCATTTGATTACTCGATCCAGTTAAGTGATCAAAGAAAATCATCCCAATATCATTACCGACTACACATGGAAAAAAACATATACATTTATATAGATGTGTGTGCATGCATATAGATGAATGATTGTATTTCTGTGTGCACATATTGGTTAGGAATCCAGAGAAAATACCTGAGAAAATTGGTCAGAAAGAGATAGTTGCGAAAACCCTAGATCCAGATCAGATAATAGTTTGGGTTTTTTGTTCGATTTTCCCAAGTTATTTCGCTTTACACACGCAGACGATTACGTGGCCTGTCAATGGATCGGGCCAAAATCCATCCCGAACTCAATACGTTTTTGTTCAAGCAATCCGTTTACAGTGTTTATACATTTAACAATGATTCATCCCACTAAAAATATCACCATTAATAACACTAATGCATTAAAAAAGTAAAAAAAAAAACAAAAAATACAACTCCAAAATAAATACATAAAAATATAAAAAATGTACTAAATTCTTGTATTTTTTTATATTTTTGGTATTTAGGGAATTTTTAAAAGATTTTTTTTATAATTTTTTTTACTTTTTAGGTGTATTTATGTTAGGTGTGTCTAAAGAGTAAAAAAATTGCTTAAAATATTAAAAAAATTCAATAAAAACAAAAAAACACGAAAAATAAGAATGTAAAATTTTCTGAAAAGTATTTTCTAAAAAATAAAAACAAGCAATATTTTTTTTAAAACCTGAAAGAAGGTAAGTGTAATTTATTTATAAAATCAATTTTGAATATTGTTCTCCGGTTCAAAAAAATAAAATAAAATAAAATAAAATAACCCTCCATTTTTTGATGGGGTGATGATATAAAAGAGAAATTTTTTAATGATGTAACATAATATTAACTTTTATTTTAAAATAAAATATTTATAAATATAATTTATATTTATAAAAATAATATTGTCACATAATTTTTACGATTCTTTTGTATCAATTTTTACGTATGGATAGGGAATAAAGATTATTCTCAACCTTAAAGTTTGTAGATTATTCTCTTTTTTGATGGGGTGATGATATAAAAGAGAAATTTTTTAATGATGTAACATAATATTAACTTTTATTTTAAAATAAAATATTTATAAAAATAATATTGTCACATAATTTTTACGATTCTTTTGTATCAATTTTTACGTATGGATAGGGAATAGAGATTATTCTCAACCTTAAAGTTTGTAGATTATTCTCAACCTTCTATTGTCCCTACGCTGTGCCATGCTACTGGAAAATTATTGGGGAAATAACAATACAATCTAGTTTTAGAAGAAAAAAAAATAAAAAAAATAAAAAAAAATTACGAATGAGTGATAAAGTTTATAACTTTTAATAATTAAAATGTTATTGTACTTTTTCATGATTCTGTATTTTTTATTTTATTGTTACCACTAAATTTTAATTTCTCCAAAATTATTTTATAGTCTTGGGGCAAGTTCACATGACACCCTAACTTGATTTTTATTGATCAATATGAAGAGATCTAAGTATTTTTTTGTTTGATTTATGAGAGACAATACGGTAAATGTCGGTCTCGTTTGGGAAGTGGCTACTTTTTTTACTTTTTAATTATTTGACTATTTTAATAAACTATTTTAGTTTTGTATTTGGGAAGATGGGTTCTATTTTTTATTTGATTGTTATATTGAAAAATGTGTTTGAAATGATGTTGAAATATAAAATGACAGAATTGCTCCTAAGAATAAAATATTATTTTTCAACAAAGAAGCACTTGTTGACGTGGCATGCACAATCCAGAGGATAAAATAGACATTTAGGCCAATTTTGAAAAGTGAATTAAAAGTTACTTCTCAATTTTTAACTCACTTTCTTTTTCCCATAAAAGAGTCAAAAAAAAAATTAACTTTTAATCATCTTACTAAAGCAACCCTTACTCACCTGTGTCGATAGTGATGTGAACCACGTGATTTGTCATGCCACAGTAGAGGCTTTTGGACTATTTTCTTCTATACGACTAAAATAGCTCCTCACCTAGCTTCCCAAACGGTGCCATCATATGTTCAACGATGTAAAGTATTGTTTCAAAAATATCAAATAACCATTCCATTCTAAGGCCTCGTTTGGAAATAGGTTAATTTAGTATTTTTTTAGCTATTTGGTTAAAAAAGTAGGTAAAAAAAACTTATATGTTTGGGATGACTTTTTGGCTAATTATGAAAAGATGTGCAAAAAGTAGAGAGAAAAGAGTATCTTTGACTTTTTGGTATGAATTGTTGGTTTTTTGGCTAAAAATGTAACTTTTTTACTTTTTGGCTAAAAAAGTAAGTCCCCAATCGGGGCCTAAGAGGGAAAGCATTGCATGGTAGGGAATCCCAAAATTTAGTTCCATAAAATTTAAGTGGCACCTATGAATTGCTAATATAATCCCAAAACAAGTACAATATTAAGGTCTATTTTGCGAAGTAGAAAAAAAGTTAATTTTTAATTTTTTATATTTTTAAAAACGTGTAATAAAAGTAGAGAGTTGATGTGATCCAAATCTATACTAGGGGTGACAACGGATATACCGATTCGTCCAAATTGACTGAACCGATTCTATCCGCCGCATTTTAAACGAATGCATGATGACGAGCGGACGGTTGCGGATTAATTTTTTCTAATCCGCCTAATTTTGAATGGATGGCGGATTTGAAGTTCTTTTGGCCGCAACCGAACAGCCAAACCGCGAGTACCCCTAGTAATTTGTAAGACTTTGTGTTTTCAATTTGTTTAGATATTATGTTTGTGTTTTCAATTAAAAAAGAGTTTAGGGCAAATTACACTCACAGTCCCTATAGTTTGGAGCTTGTGCCACTTTAGTCACTGACTTTTCAATTGTGACACATTTGACCTTGAATTTTAAATCTTATTCCAAATAAGGACAATTGAACATATCATTGCTTAATTTCAAGGGCAAAATCGTCAATTTGATAAAATATAAACTAATTTGACAAAAATAAATGTCAAAAAAATATTTTAAAAATTTTAAAAATTATTTCTACCCACCAAAGATAAAATTATGTAAAATTGATAAAAAAAATTAATAAAAAATACATGATTAATTTTTAAAAATTAATTTTACATGATCATCATCCAAATACATAATAAAAATTAATTTGGTAAAAATAAATAAATAAATGTCTAAAAGATTTATCAATTTTATATAATTTTATCTTTAGTAGGTAGAAATAATTTTTAAAAATTCAAAAATAAATTTTTGACATTTATTTTTGTCAAATTAATTTATATTTTACCAATTGACTATTTTGTCCTTAAAAATCCAATAGTATCTTCAATTGTCCTTATTTGGAACAAGATTCAAAATTCAGGGTCAAATATGTCACAATTGAAAAGTCAGGAACCAAAATGACACAAGCCCCAAACTATAGGGACCGTTAGTGTAATTCACCCAAGAGTTTAAATATTTTGTTGAATATATTCTGTTGAAAAAGAGTTTTCAACTTGAATATATTTTTTGAATTGAAAAAAATAAATGTATTATTTATCTATATTTTTTTTATTTTTAAATCTAACTCTTAAAATAATAAATAAAAAACATGATATATGCTAGTTGGTTTTTGTTTTCAAAAAAAGATACAGATGTAACAATATAGAGACATACAATCTCTACTGCTGCTCAATTCATGGTTTTGTTGGTTTGAATTGTTTTTATATTTTAAGAACCATAGATTGTAATACTTTATGTAATATTTTATGTGGATGAGACATACTGTGATTGTAATATGTGGATGAGGCATGCAGTGATTGTAATATTCTAAAGTTTCAAACTTTCTTTCTTTAGATGAGACATGCAGTGATTGTAATACTTTTTTAAGTCATTGACTGTAATACTTTTTTTTTTTTTTTTTTTTTAATCGTCAAACCGATTCGCATCTATTCGCCAATCCGCTCAATCCATATCCGCCGAATTGGCAGACTGATGTGAATTAATTTTTGTCAATCTGCCAATCTAGCAGACGAGTGGTGCGGATTGGAGGTTCTATGACCGTAATCGACTTCTGCCCACCTCTAATCTATACTTTATATTAAGGAAAATAAGGTTTTTAATGAGAAGGGATGGGAGAGTTCCACATATTCAACCTCAATTTCTTATTTTTTTCAATTTTAAAAAATAATAAACTATTTATGTGTCTCACATAATTTCTAAATTGAAAACATAAATAAATAAATAAAAACTTCAAGCTTATCCCTAAGATCATTACCTAAAAGATGATCATTTCTTAAAATTAATTATAGAAATACAGTTTGTTGACCTTCCAATTTATTTGTCCTTCTTCTAAAATCTCTACTTAAAATCATTGCTTCCTTAAAATAAATTAAACAAAAATTAATTCAAATTTGTTTAAACTAGCATGTTAACCGTGCTATGTAGGGGTTAAAATAATATATTATTTATTAAAAAAATGCGATAATTATATATTTTTATTTTTTTTTGTATTTTGTCTCTTGTAAATAAAATTTTATATAGAAGTTTAAGAGTTTTGTTTGAAATGTCCATTTATTAAAATTATTGTCTTGACAATTAATAATTAAAATTATGCTTTGTTATAAAAAATGATATAGTTCTAATAATTCACTATTTTAGAATAAAAATATATGAATATAAAAAAAAATATCATATTGGTTTTTAAAAGGGAAATAATTAAAAAGAAATTTTAAAAACTTAATAGGTAAGAAAGAATTACCATAATATGTAATTTAAAATCTCAAAAAAAAGTTAAAAAATGAATTAGGATTTTAAGTATTAAATGCCTCACAATATATATATATATATATATATTAAATATGTGATTACAATTAAAACTAATGTCATATTTATTAATAAGTATAATTTTATTTGGATATCTATCAAAATATCAACTAATTTATACAAAAATTAATTAATTAAAACTTCGAAATTTTATTACAAAATTTAAGCTATCTTCTCTTAAATTGAAGTATGCACAACACTATAATAATATTAAATAGAAGCATAAATGTTCACATTATATAAGTGAAACAACTCTTTTTTTTTTTCTTCTTGATTGAGGGATTGTGTAAAATAAAAGTTAACAATTGTTTGGGCTAGAAATCAATTTTCATTTCACAATCTTAGCAGTTCAATCTTTTATTGAGT